AGGGTAAAGTTAGATAGGCATGTAGATAAAATGTTGTGAGAGGGGAAGCCCCAGGAGTTTAAGAGAGGTAAGGCTGTTAGAAATGATGATAGTGGGAAAATAGAGAGGAGGGTGGAAAGACAGATGGTGAAAATATTAGCACTACCCCAGCCAAGTCCCTGGAACAACAACCCAAGCAGTACTAGTCCCAACACAGAGGCTCAAGTACATCACAGCTACAACCACAGACTAAAGTCAGCTTCTGAAACACATTTTACATAACTGCTTCTCACAAACAAACAGAATAATTCATGACTGTAATACTGGCTTCACCTCCCTGTACTCCGTGTAACAACAACAACACAACAGATCTACAGTTGTAGGGAGGAGAGACTCAAGCCTGGATCACCTCGCTGCAACAGGCCCCGATCCTGAGGTTACGCACACAGTGTAAACACCCCACCTCCCTGTACTCTGTGTAACAACAACACAACAGACCTACAGTTGTAGGGAGGAGAGACTCAAGCCTGGATCACCTCGCTGCAACAGGCCCCGATCCTGAGGTTACACACAACGTGGAAACACCCCACCTCCCTGTACTCTGTGTAACAACAACAACACAACAGACCTACACAGTTGTAAGGAGGAGAGACTCAAGCCTGGCTCACGCTGTATCAGGCCCTGAGGTTACACACACCGTGTAAACACCCCACCTCCCTGTGCTCTGTGTAACAACAACACAACAGACCTACAGTTGTAGGGAGGCGAGACTCAAGCCTGGATCACCTCGCTGCAACAGGCCCTGATTCTGAGGTTACACACACCGTGGAAACACCCCACCTCCCTGTACTCTGTGTAACAACAACAACACAACAGATCTACAGTTGAAGGGAGGAGACTCAAGCCTGGATCACCTCGCTGTAACAGGCCCTGATCCTGAGGTTACACACACAGTGGAAACACCCCACCTTCCTGTACTCTGTGTAACAACAACAACACAACAGACCTACAGTTGTAGGGAGGAGAGACTCAAGCCTGGATCACCTCGCTGTAACAGGCCCCGATCCTGAGGTTACACACACCGTGGAAACACCCTACCTCCCTGTACTGGGGAACACTGTCGAGTGTACTACACTGGGGAACACTGCCGTGACTGTACTACACTGGGGAACACTGTCGAGTGTAGTACACACGACAGTGTTCCCCAGTGTAGTAGACTCGACAGTGTTCCCCAGTGTAGTCCACTCGACAGTGTCCCCAGTGGAGTACACTCACGACAGGGTTCCCCAGTGTAGTACAGTCACGGCAGTGTTCCCCAGTACAGGGAACACTGTCGAGTGTACTACTCTGGGAAACACTGTCGAGTGTACTACACTGGGGAACACTGTCGAGTGTTCTACATTGGGGAACACTGTCGAGTGTTCTACACTGGGGAACACTGTCGTGAGTGTACTACACTGGGGACACTGTCGAGTGTACTACACTGGGGAACACTGTCGATTGTACTAAACTTGGGAACACTGTCGAGTGTACTACACTTGGAAACACTGGTGAGTGTACTACACTTGGGAACACTGGCGAGTGTACTACACTGGGGAACACTGTCGGGTGAACTACACTGGGGAACACTGTCGAGTGTACTACACTGGGGAACATGCACTGTCGGGTGTACTACACTGGGGAACACTGTCGTGTGTACTTCACTGGGGAACGCTGTCGCGAGTGTACTACACTGGGGAACACTGTCGTGTGTACTTCACTGGGGAACGCTGTCGCGAGTGTAATACACTCGACAGTGTGCCCCAGTGTAGAGCACCCGCCAGTGCATGTTCCCCAGGGTAGTACACTCGCGACAGAGTTCCCCAGTGTAGTTCACCCGACAGTGTTCCCCGGTGTAGTACACTCGACCGTGTTCCCCAGTGTAGCACACTCGACAGTGTTACCCAGTGTAGTACACCCGGCAGTGCTCCCCAGTGAAGTACACACGCCAGTGTTCCCCAGTGAAGGACACACGACAGTGTTCACCAGTGTAGTACACTGGGGAACATGCACTGTCGGGCGTACTACACTGGGGACACTGTCGAGTGTAATACTCTGGGGAACACTGTCGAGTGTACTACACTTGGGAACACTGTCAAGTGTACTATACTGGGAAACACTGTCGAGTGTACTACACTTGGGAACACTGGCGAGTGTACTACACTGGGGAACACTGTCGGGTGTACTACACTGGGGAACACTGTCGAGTGTACTACACTTGGGAACACTGTCGAGTGTACACCACTAGGAAACACTGTCGTGAGTGTACTACACTGGGGAACACTGTCGAGTGTACTACACTTGGGAACACTGGCGAGTCTACTACACTGGGGAACACTGTCGGGAGTACTACACTGGGGAACACTGTCGAGCGAACTACACTTGGGAACACTGTCGAGTGTGCACCACTAGGAAACACTCTCGTGAGTGTACTACACTGGGGAACTCTGTTGAGTGTACTACACGGGGGAACACTGGCGAGTGTACTACACTTGGGAACACTGGCGAGTGTACTACACTTGGGAACACTGTCGCGTGTACACCACTAGGAAACACTGTCGTGAGTGTACTACACTGGGGAACTCTGTCGAGTGTACTACACTGGGAAACACGGTTGTGAGTGTACTACACTGGGGAACAATGTTGAGTGTACTACACTGGGGAACACTGTCGAGTGTACTACACTCGGGAACACTGTCGAGTGTACTACACTGGGAAACACTGTCGTGAGTGTACTACACTGGGGAACACTGTCGTGAGTGTACTACACTGGGGAACACTGTTGAGTGTACTACACTGGGAAACACTGTCGTGAGTGTACTACACTGGGGAACACTGTTGAGTGTACTACACTGGGGAACACTGTCGAGTGTACTACACTGGGGAACACTGCCGAGTGTACTACACTGGGGAACACTGTCAGGTGTACTACACTGGGGAACACTGTCGGGAGTGTACTTCACTGGGGAACACTGTCGGGCTAAGAATGCCCCTCTATAACATGGACATGCAATACATGTGCATTAGTGCTGTAACCGGCTAAATACACATAAGTATATGGTTAACTTTTAATCCTCCATCTTTGAAAATTACCAAACTGTAATTGTATAATCTTCGTGTGTAATGCATGTGCATGGATAACAGCAAATATGCAAGTACATATTCATTCATACAATAATTCTCAAATACATACAGATTAATCAAATTCCATCATGATTTGAAATTATCCTTTAGAAAAACACATTAGTATGTTTTAATCTTTCCATGTTTTGAAATACCTATAAGTTGTAGAAATGATCCTTTCCAATGCAATCATCCCCTGACGACATGGACACTGGTAATTACTTCTCCACAACCAGGCACCACTCACTGTTCTACAGCCACAACCAGGCACCACTCACTGTTCTACAGCCACACCCAGGCACCACTCACAGTCCCACCGCCACAACCAGGCACCACTCACTGTTCTACACCCACAAACAAAGGGACATGAAACCCACAACCAGGCACCGCTCACTGTTATACAGCCACAAACAAAGGGACATGAAATCCAAAACCAGGCACCACTCACTGTTCCACAGCCACAAACAAAGGGACATCAAATCCACAACCAGGCACCACTCACTGCTCTACAGCCACAACCAGGCACCCCTCACTTTTCTACAGCCACAAACAAAGGCTTATGAAATCCACAACCAGGCACCACTCACTGTTCTACAGCCACAAACAAAGACACATGAAATCCACAACCAGGCACCACTCACTGTTCTACAGCCACAAACAAAGGGATATGAAATCCACAACCAGGCACCCCTCCCTGTTCGACAGCCACAACCAGGCTCCACTCACTCTTCTACAGCCACACCCAGGCACCACTCACTGTTCTACAGCCACAAACAAAGGGACATGAAATCCATTTCAAGTTTCCCAAAACCAGTACAGCAGTGTCTCCCACAACTGAAAGCACCTGTCTTCATCTTATATATTGATTTAAGAGAAAAATATTGCATGTCAATTTTAGTAAATATTATTTATCCCTGAACTAAGAATTACTGTATCTGCATGCATTCACAATGCATCAGCATCACGACTGCCTAGAAGCTCAAAGACAGAGCTGGGACGCCCTGTACAGTTGTATAATTAAACAAGGAGGATACCGGATGTTGTGCAAGTTGAAAATGAAAAACACAGATGTCAAGGGCATCCAAATTTAAAATGATCATAAGGAAATAACTTAAGTTTGTAGAAATATGTCAACAAGGAAATATTGCTATTATGCAGTAAAGATCATGTACTGCAATAAGTTTTGAAGGGCCCTTCTGGCCAGGTGAGCTAAAAATAAAATTCATGTAAAAAATATACCTACATGTATAGAAATTTTGAGGGTCTAAAAGTGAGCATAAGGAAAAATGTTAGTATATATACCGAAGTAATTAATATAATCCATGACAGGGTATTGGCTACTGCAGATACTAGAACAAAGCAAAGTATCACGTACAAAGTTTGGCAATTGTAGGTGACAAAGTATATAAGGTAAGCTCTAGATCTGAACAAAGTGATTTATGGTAAACAAAGGGCCATAACTCTGTTTATACAAGACCAGATTTCAGTATACATGTATAACATTCTGCCAGATGTTATTTATCTCCCCAAAAACATGTACAACTTATCTATAAATTTCTAGCCAAAAATAAACCCGATTTTACTTTTTTGCGAGATTGTACATACTTAAATATATATAGTTACGTGTAAACAGAAGTTAACATTAAACTATATAGGTGCCCTAATCACTACACATTGAAAATGTATATTAAAGTCTAAACTAACACCAGAACATAAAACTCTATTATAAACTAATATTACATTTAAAAGTCAAAAAATAAGACCTATATATAATTTCCATCAGCTTTTGCGAACATCTACAGTATTTGAGATCGTTTAAAAGAAATAAAAATAAAAAGTGCAGCCATGTGTAGAATGATTCAGTGTAGAGTATTCTGTGGGCAAGGTTCTGTGGGCGAGGTTCTGTGGGCAAGGTTCTGTGGGCAAGGTTGAGATTCTGTGGGCGAGGTTGAGGTTCTGTGGGCGAGGTTCTGTGAGCAAGGTTTTGTGGGCGAGGTTCTGTGGGCAAGGTTGAGGTTCTGTGGGCGAGGTTGAGGTTCTGTGGGCGAGGTTCTGTGGGCGAGGTTGAGGTTCTGTGGGCGAGGTTCTGTGGGTGAGGTTGAGGTTCTGTGGGCAAGGTTGAGGTTCTGTGGGCAAGGTTCTGTGGGCGAGGTTGAGGTTCTGTGGGCGAGGTTCTGTGGGCGAGGTTGAGGTTCTGTGGGCGAGGTTCTGTGGGCGAGGTTCTGTAGGTGAGGTTGAGGTTCTGTGGGCGAGGTTCTGTGCTCTACTCCTACATACTGTCAATAAGTCCTATATATACATTGATACAATCTATGTCAGTTCTTTAGCGGTCTGGGTTTTACAATCTTCACACATGCAATTCTTGGCTTGTCATATACCAGAAGGGCATACATATTTTGATTCATACATCAAGTGTATCACCCCTTGGGTACTGGGCAATGTCGGTCTTGCAGTTCTATGATTGCATAACAATATACTGATATCCAAAACGTATTTTGTACTGTATTTCTTTATGAAGGGGCTAACCCAATAATGTCAGATATTAATTTAGCAGCATCGTTGTGATATCGTTGGTGATATTCTGATATCTGATAACTGGTTGTCAGTGTCAGTCATTAGCAGTGTGAAGATAGGTAATAATCCTACAGTTCTACAGTTGTATTAGCAGAGCAATGGCAGACATATCGGTATGACATGACATATGGTGGCAAACATTTTATCACAGGATAAGCTTGAGGACCTTGTACATGAAAATATGCTGCCTCGCCAACATTGTATAAAGAAACACATGGTATCATAACTTAAATACACTATCCGATTAAATATGATGATACATATATTGTATCATGAACAACGATGACAACATTACAATTACACTATACTATTAACTATTATAGAAATTAAATAATAAACTGCAACAAGAGGCCCAAGAGGGCCTGTATCGCTCACCTGAATATTTATGCAGTCATAGCAAAATATTCTCATTAAATATTATATTGCACTAAAAATATTTCCCTCGCAAACTTTGTTGGCTCCATCTGTTGAAACTACCAACAAAATATTATTATAAGATTCTATGCTTTTTGATTCTTCTTCAGAAGTTGATAGACATATTTTTCCCTGTTATCTTGTAAGTAGGTCAATGTCATTTTCCTTCTCAAATTGGTTAGCTCTATTCCAAAAAGCTACCAGCCAAATCTTATGAATCCATTCCTTTTAGTTCTCAAGAACAAATCCATTAAAATGTTGTTGACCTCTGTGACCTCTAAAGTAGGTTGAGGTCATTTTCATTTGCAAACTTTGGTGAGCTCTATCCCAGGAAGTCACCAGCCAAATATTATAATTTTATGCCTTTTAATTCTTCAGAAGAAGCTGTTTGAACTGTTTGACATATTTGAATGCTGTGACCTTGAAAGTAGGTCAAGGTCATTTTCATTCGCAAACTTTGTTTGGCTCTTTCCCAGGAAGCCACCTGCCAAATATTAAGATTTTATAACTTCCAGTTCTTCAGAAGTCGTTTAAAGTGTTTGACATGTCTGCCTCATGTGACCTTAAAAGTAGGTCAAGGTCATTTTCATTCTCAAACTTTGTTGGGCTCTTTCCTAGGAAGCTACAAGCCAAATATAGAGATTCTATACCTTTCAGTTCTTCAGAAGAAGTCATTTGAAGTTTTTGACATATTTGACCCCTGTGACCTTGAAAGAAGGTCAAGGTCATTTTTGTTTTCAAACTCTGTCGGGCTCTATCCAAGGAAGCCACCAGTCAAATATTAAGATTCTATACCTTTCAATTCTTCAGAAGAAGTCGTTTGAAGCATTTGACATATTTGACCCCTGTGACCTTGAAAGTAGGTTTAACTAATTTTCATTCTCAGACTTTGTTGGGCTCCATCCCAGGAAGCCATCAGCCAAATATAAAGATTCTATACCTTTTAATTCTTGAGAGTAGGTCAAGGTCATTTTAGTTCTCAAACTTTATCGGGATCCTACCAACAATTCTCTCAGCCAAATATCATGACTCTAGGCCTGTCCGTTCTTCAGAAGAAGTTGTTTAAAGGAAAAGTTGACGGCTGAGGACGGACGGACGCAGATGCAGGTGAGCTATTTATGTCTAGCTATATAAACCTCACAATGACATCAGAATAGCAGACCGTAAAACAATAACACATCTCTGAAGGCTACAATTGTCCGTTCTTCAGAAGAAGTTGTTTAAAGGAAAAGTTGACGGCTGCGGACGGACGGACGCAGATGCAGGTGAGCCATTTATGTCTAGCTATATAAAAATCACAATGACATCAGAATAGCAGACCGTAAAACAATAACACATCTCTGAAGTATCCAATGTCTAGCTATATAAACCGCACAATGACATCAGAATAGCAGACCGCACAACAATAACACATCGCTGAAGTCTATTAGAAGTTAACAATGTCTAGCTATCTAAACCTCACAATGACATCAGAATAGCAGACCGCACAACAATAACACATCTCTGAAGGCTACAATTGTCCGTTCTTCAGAAGAAGTAGTATAAAGGAAAAGTTGACGGCTGATGACGGACGGACGCAGATGCAGGAGAGCTATTTATGTCTAGCTATATAAAAATCACAATGACATCAGAATAGCAGACCGTAAAACAATAACACATCTCTGAAGTCTGCAATGTCTAGCTATATAAACCGCACAATGACATCAGAATAGCAGATCGTCCAACAATAACACATCTCTGAAGTCTACAATGTCTCTATAGTTATATAAAGCTCACAATGACATCAGAATAGCAGACCGTAAAACAATAACACATCTCTGAAGTATCCAATGTCTAGCTATATAAACCGCACAATGACATCAGAATAGCAGATCATACAACAATAACACATCTCTTAAGTCTACAATGTCTATATAGCTATATAAACCTCACAATGGCATCAGATTAGCAGACCGTACAACAATATATCATGACTCTAGGCCTGTCCGTTCTTCAGAAGAAGTAGTATAAAGGAAAAGTTGACGGCTGATGACGGACGGACGCAGATGCAGGTGAGCCATTTATGTCTAGCTATATAAAAATCACAATGACATCAGAATAGCAGATCGTCCAACAATAACACATCTCTGAAGGCTACAATGTCCAGCTATATAAACCTCACAATGGCATCAGATTAGCAGACCGTACAACAATATATCATGACTCTAGGCCTGTCCGTTCTTCAGAAGAAGTAGTATAAAGGAAAAGTTGACGGCTGCGGACGGACGGACGCAGATGCAGGAGAGCTATTTATGTCTAGCTATATAAAAATCACAATGACATCAGAATAGCAGACCGTAAAACAATAACACATCTCTGAAGTCTACAATGTCTAGCTATATAAACCTCACAATGACATCAGAATAGCAGACCGTACAACAATAACACATCTCTGAAGTCTACAATGTCTAGCTATATAAACCTCACAATGACATCAGAATAGCAGACCGTACAACAATAACACATCTCTGAAGTCTACAATGTCTAGCTATATAAACCTCACAATGACATCAGAATAGCAGACCGTACAACAATAACACATCTCTGAAGTCTACAATGTCTAGCTATATAAACCTCACAATGACATCAGAATAGCAGACCGTACAACAATAACACATCTCTGAAGTCTACAATGTCTAGCTATATAAACCTCACAATGACATCAGAATAGCAGACCGTACAACAATAACACATCTCTGAAGTCTACAATGTCTAGCTATATAAACCTCACAATGACATCAGAATAGCAGACCGTACAACAATAACACATCTCTGAAGTCTACAATGTCTAGCTATATAAACCTCACAATGACATCAGAATAGCAGACCGTACAACAATAACACATCTCTGAAGTCTACAATGTCTAGCTATATAAACCTCACAATGACATCAGAATAGCAGACCGTACAACAATAACACATCTCTGAAGTCTACAATGTCTAGCTATATAAACCTCACAATGACATCAGAATAGCAGACCGTACAACAATAACACATCTCTGAAGTCTACAATGTCTAGCTATATAAACCTCACAATGACATCAGAATAGCAGACCGTACAACAATAACACATCTCTGAAGTCTACAATGTCTAGCTATATAAACCTCACAATGACATCAGAATAGCAGACCGTACAACAATAACACATCTCTGAAGTCTACAATGTCTAGCTATATAAACCTCACAATGACATCAGAATAGCAGACCGTACAACAATAACACATCTCTGAAGTCTACAATGTCTAGCTATATAAACCTCACAATGACATCAGAATAGCAGACCGTACAACAATAACACATCTCTGAAGTCTACAATGTCTAGCTATATAAACCTCACAATGACATCAGAATAGCAGACCGTACAACAATAACACATCTCTGAAGTCTACAATGTCTAGCTATATAAACCTCACAATGACATCAGAATAGCAGACCGTACAACAATAACACATCTCTGAAGTCTACAATGTCTAGCTATATAAACCTCACAATGACATCAGAAGAGCAGACCGTACAGCAATATCACATCTCTGAAGTCTATTAGAAGTTAACAATGTCTAGCTATATAAACCTCACAATGACATCAGAATAGCAGACCGTACAACAATAACACATCTCTGAAGTCTATTAGAAGTTAACAATGTCTAACTATATAAACCTCACAATGACATCAGAATAGCAGACTGTACAACAATAACACATTTCTGAAGTCTATTAGAAGTTAACAATGTCTATCTATATAAACCTCACAATGACATCAGAATAGCAGACCGTACAACAATGACACATCTCTGAAGTCTACAATGTCTAGCTATATAAACCTCACAATGGCATCAGATTAGCAGACCGTACAACAATAACACATCTCTGAAGTCTATTAGAAGTCTACAGTGTCTAGCTATATAAACCTCACAATGACATCAGAATAGCAGACCGTACAACAATAACACATCTCTGAAGTCTACAATGTCTAGCTATATAACCCTCACAATGACATCAGAATAGCAGACCATACAACAATAACACAATTCTGAAGTCTGAAGCAAGTTAGCAATGTCTAGCTATATAACCCCCACAATGACATCAGAACAAGCCTCTCTGTACTTACATAAAGTTAGACACCATCTCCAAACTCCCACGTAATTAAAATCCAACAGAATTTTTTTTCTTCAAAATCTCTGCGAGAAACCTATCAGATTTCATGAAATTGCAAAATGCTTTCCCCACTATAGAAATATGAAGCATCTGGTACATATTAGATAGAGGTCTGTGAATGTGGACTGTTGAGTCTATTAGCTTTATAACACTGTGTCCCTATATACATATGATGTGTCTGGTACCCAAACTTATTACTGCAACACTACAAAGCCATATGGGCACTATTACCAACCCAAGTAATAGCCTCCTGTTTTCATCTTGATAATATTTTTATTGGGCTGGAAACTAAAATTATTTTTATTTTATTACATTCATTAAAATTGATATCCCACATTACCAGGAGTGTAAGGCCTTCTCTGGATATCCCACACTACCAAGAGTTTAAGGCCTTTTCGTTTAAGGATGGAAGCTGTGTAAATTAAAAATGAAGAGTTCTTACATCTGTGTAAATACTCAGGATTTGGGTTGTGTGGATGATGTCTCTCCGACTTTTGTCTGTGATTGTTACACAGCTGCCGATGGGCATCACGTCCGTTACACAACCTCATCCAACCCAGCACACATCCACAAATACTATTAGATCATTTCCAAGATTAACTTAGAAATCTCTATCAGAAAATATCTGCTGAAAGCTAGTCCACCCCCACACCCTGCCTTGAACTATATATACAACTTATCATTACAGCAAATATCTGCTACATGATTCAAAGTATGCTGCCTACAAAGTGTGGTACATTAATGATGGTGCTATAAAGCTGAGTAAAGTCTTGTTTCTATTATACCAGTATCAGCACTAGTTACTGTACAAGTCGGTCATCCATCCAGTAAACACCATAAAGAGCTGATGGAGGCCAAAGTCACTCGGCCAAACCTACCCATCTCAGGCTCTAAACACTAATTTTGATGACTGGAATTTCAGGATACTGTGCAAATATTTCTTTTTGTCATACTAAAAACTTCATAGGTTTTCAAAAACAACACTGTAAGGTGAAACAGTACGCAGGGTGAAACAATACTGTAAGGTGAAACAATACTGTAAGGTTAAACAATACTGAATGGTGAAACAGCACTGTAATGTGACACAGTACTGAAATGTGAAACAACACTGTAAGGTGAAACAGTACTGAAATGTGAAACAACACTGTAAGGTGAAACAGTACTGTAAGGTGAAACAGTACTGTAAGGTGAAACAACACTGTAAGGTGAAACAACACTGTCATGTGAAACAACACTGTAAGGTGAAACAGTGCTGTAATGTGAAACAAAACTGTAAGGTGAAACAGTACATAAGGTGAAACAATACTGTAAGGTGAAACAATACTGTAAGGTTAAACAATACTGAATGGTGAAAAAACACGGTAAGGTGAAACAGTACTGTAAGGTGAAACAATACTGAATGGTGAAACAATACTGTAAGGTGAAACAATACTGTAAGGTTAAACAATACTGAATGGTGAAACAATACTGTAAGGTGAAACAATACTGAAAGGTTAAACAATACTGAATGGTGAAACAACACGGTAAGGTGAAACAGTACTGTAAGGTTAAACAATACTGAATGGTAAAACAACACGGTAAGGTGAAACAACACTGTAATGTAAAACAGTACTGTAAGGTGAGACAACACTGTAAGGTGAAACAGTACTGTAAGGGGAAACAATACTGAATGGTGAAACAACACGGTAATGTGAAACAACACTGTAATGTAAAACAGTACTGAAAAGTGAAACAACACTGTAAGGTGAAACAGTACTGTAAGTTGTAACAGTACGTAAGGTGAAACAATACTGTAAGGTTAAACAATACTGAATTGTGAAACAACACGGTAAGGTGAAACAGTACTGTAAGGTGAAACGACACTGTAAAGTGAAACAACACTGTAAGGTGGTGAAACAGCCCTGTAATGCAAAACAGTACTGTAAGGTGAAACAACACTGTAAAGTGAAACAACACTGTAAGGTGGTGAAACAGCCCTGTAATGTAAAACAGTACTGTAAGGTGAAACAACACTGTAAGGTGAAACAGTACTGTAAGGTGAAACAGCACTGTAAAGTGAAACAGTACTGTAATGTGAAACAGTACTGTAAGGTGAAACAACACTGTAATGTAAAACAGTACTGAAAGGTGAAACAACACTGTAAGGTGAAACAGTACTGTAAGGTGAAACAGCACTGTTAGGTGAAACAGTACTGTAATGTGAAACAACACTGCAAAGTGAAACAACACTGTAAGGTGAAACAGTACTGTAAGGTGAAACAGTACTGTAAGGTGAAACAGCACTGTAAGGTGAAACAGTACTGTAATGTGAAACAACACTGTAAAGTGAAACAACACTGTAAGGTGAAACAACCCTGTAATGTAAAACAGTACTGTAAGGTGAAACAGTACTGTAAGGTGAAACAACACTGTAAGGTGAAACAATACTATAGGGTGAAACAACACTGCAAGGTGAAACAATACTGTAAGGTGAAACAACACTGTAGGGTGAAACAGTACTGTAAGGTGAAACAGCACTGTAAAGTGAAACAGTACTGTAATGTGAAACAGTACTGTAAGGTGAAACAGTACTGTAAGGTGAAACAGCACGGTAAGGTGAAACAGTACTGTAAGATGAAATAGCACTGTAAGGTGAAACAGTACTGTAAGGTGAAACAGTACTGTAAGGTGAAACGGTACTGTAAGGTAAAACAACAGGGTAAGGTGAAACAGTATTGTAAGGTGTAATAGTACTGTAAGGTGAAACAGTACTGTAAGGTGAAACAACACTGTAAAGTGAAACAACACGGTAAGGTGAAACAGTACTGTAAGGTGAAAAAGTACTATAAGGTGAAACAGTACTGTAAAGTGAAACAGCTCTGTAAGATAGTACAGTACTGTAAGGTGAAACAGTACTGTAAGGTGAAACGGTTATTCCCCGATATCCTGCCCCTTCCCCTATCTCCTGCCCGATCCCCCCTAATCTCCTGCACCTTCCCCCTATCTCCTGCCCCATCCCTCCTAATCTCCTGCCCCATCCCCTATCTCCTGCTCCAGTCCCCCTAATCTCCTGCCCCATTCCCCCTATCTCCTGCCCCATCCCCTAACTCCTGCCCCTTTCCCCCTATCTCCTGCCCCATCCCTCCTAATATCCTG